CCAGGAGAGCGAACATTACAGGCTTTGGCGGCACTGGCACAGCCCTCTTATTCCTGGTCACAACCGACCAGGTCTCCACAGGCTACGGCGTCTGCGGTGCAATCGCTTCCTGCACAAGAGCTGGGGCCCCAGGCAACGATACCGATTAAGCTGTCATTAGCCTCTTCGATGGCGAGTAGGGCCTACCACAACTTCTTCTAAAGGCAACTGATTCCACCACGCGGAAAATGCACACAAAATGCGCAAAAATTTGTATCCATGCAAAAAACAGTCGCGGCCACTAACCCGAGCAACAACGCTGCACCCGCCGCTGTCGTTACGTACGAGGCAATAACGGTGCCAACTCAACTGCGTAAACCAACTACCGCACAARGAAACACTGAAAATACCGAAAATTACGCTAGAAGTCATAACAATACGCATGCACGTCTATCCTCGTCGAAAGTCCACTAACAAACCGTTATTGTTGGCAGTCATAACTTCGAATTCATTAATGTTGACASTCATAGTTTCGTCTATCCTTGAAACAGTATTAACAGTAATAACAATTTCAGTTCCGATATCCAATGCAAAAACTCTTACCAACAGTTACTACTTCCGACTGAGTAGCAAATTTTGAAGTATTGCTTCTCTCGACGAACAAAAATAAAACTCTAGAAGTAAGTCGTTATTCCTGTCCTTCTATATGGTGTAGAGGCATGAACGATGACAACATCCGACGAGTCGACGTTATGAGTTTTCGAGAGAAAAGTACAGCGGAAGATCTTTAGTCCTTTACACATTGGCCAAGGCGAATATCGCATTCGATGAAGCGATGGGCTGTTTGAGATATCTTCTTCTTGATTGGCGTAGACACCGCTTACGCGATTATAGCCGAGTTAACAACAGCGCGCCAATCGTTTTTTCTTTTCGCTACGTGGCGCCAATTAGATATTCCAAGTGAAGCCAGGTCCTTCTCCACTTGGTCCTTCCAACGGAGTGAAGGTCTTCCTCTTCCTCTGCTTCCCCCGGCGGGTACTGCGTCGAATACTTTCAGAGCTGGAGCGTTCTCGTCCATCCGGACAACATGACCTAGCCAGCGTAGCCGCTCGTACAGCTCATCGTTCCATCGAATGCGATATTCGCCGTGGCCAATGCGCAAAGGACCATAAATCTT